AAAATATTTTAATTAATATTATTGCCTTTTCGCAATTAATTTTTTATTTAATTAAAAAATATTTAAAATATATTTTAAAAATATAATATATATTCAAATATTTTATTGCTTTTTTTTTCGGTTTTTATATATATAATATATATTATAAATTCTTTTTACCCTTTTTTTTAGTATAAGTATTGTAAGTTAAGATAATAATATATAAAATAATATTTTATTAAAAAAAATTATATAAAAATTATATTAGTAATTAATATATAATGATTAAAAATTATTTACAGTAATATAGGATGTACTATAATTTTTAGTACAATTATACTAAAAATATATTAGTATAAATTATTAAGTTATATATATTAATTAATAATTAATTATCTTATAAAATAAAATTTATTGATATTACGTTAGAAGTTAGAATTTATTATATAATAAATTACAAATTATTATTATTATTTTGAGATAAATTATAATTTATTATTTTTGTAAAAATATTAACATACATCGTAACATATTGCAGGTGCCACTCGAAAATTTTGGAGGAGACGGTGAAGATTATCGATGTTGTTTCGCTACAGACGAACTATTTGATACTCCCGAAAAAGCTATTGAATGGGCAAAAGCCATTGCAACAATATGGGGTTTCTATTTGGTCATCTCGAGACACAATAAGGATGGAACGGTTCAGACGTTGAGGTGTGATCGAGGGGAACGTTACACGGGCAAGGCAGGAAAACTAGGAAATTTAGTGAATACTGTCTTGAGACGTTCGAAGACGAAATATACTGGCTGTCTTTTTCAGATAAATGTGAAAAAGGAAGAGTTATCTAAAAAATGGTGTATCTGACTTCCTTTAGAAGACGAGAAGGGATTTCATAATCATGCGTTGACTGTGTATCCCGAGGGTCATCGACAGATCAGCAGACTCAGCGATTCATCCAAAGAGATTATCCGTGACATGGGTGATGCTCAGGCAAGACCGGCAGTAATTTTGGCTGCAATTCAGGAGAAAAACCCTGTGGACAACGCTACTTGCCAACAAGTTTATAACTATAAAGCTCGATTGCGAAAAGACCGTATGGGGGGTCGAGATATTGCTGGCCAACTTCTGCATTTGGCTACCGACAGCTACTACATAGTTTACACAGACGTTGACCCGAACACACAGGCATTGACACGTGTGTTCATGTCGCATCCACGAGCAGTCAGTCTATTCCGGACATATTATTGGTACGTCGGTATAGATTCCACGTACAAAACCAACAGGTATGTTACATTATTTTTTAAATCTATATAAATATAAAAAGATTTAGTAATTAATCGGTCAAAATAAAACTTGAAATTGCATGTCCCATATTTTCTTATATTTGAATAAAAAAAAAGAAAGAAATTGTCAACAATTGCGGCTTCAGTTGTCCGAGATTCTTAAAAAAAACTTTGGTTGATGTTGTTACAAAACGAAAAGGAAATAAATATAATAAGGTTCTATTAAAAAATCAATAAAATCTGTAAAAACATAAATCGGTCAAATATTATTACATGATAGTTTAATTAAATATTGTTTTTGAGATAAACATTCGAAATTGTTATCGATTTTTATTCACATTTTAATTAAATAGTGTTAATGATTCGAAATTGTTTACGATTTTCATTTGCACAGAAACCAGATGTCGTTGGTTGAGATGATTGGAATGACGCCGTGCAATAAGAACTTCTT